CTTTCTTTCTTTCTTTCTTTCTTTCTTTCTTTCTTTCTTTCTTTCTTTCTTTCTTTCTTTCTTTCTTTCTTTCTTTCTTTCTTTCTTTCTTTCCATTTCCCACTCGTCTTTCCAAGCCTTTAGGGGCTTAGGGATGAAATCCCTGATTTCTGTGTTTGTCACTAAGCCCCCTGTCTCCCACTTGGGTCAGGAGGAACCCTACAACTGTTGACCCTACCTGGAGGTGCCCCCTACACACATAGGCTATGTCTAGACTGCATTCCTCTGTCAACAGAGGGATGCAAATCAAGCATGTTGAAATTGCTAAGGAAGCAGAGATTTAAATATCCCGTGCTTCATTAACATAAACATGGCCGCCGCTTTTTTTCAAAACGGAGTGTTTTCGAAAAAAAACCTGGCTGTCTAGACACGGATCTTTCGAAAATAGACCCTTTTTCGAAAGATCCTGTAAACCTTGTTTTTTGAGGAATACAGGATCTTTCGAAAAAGGGTCTATTTTCGAAAGATCCGTGTCTAGACAGCCAGGTTTTTTTTCGAAAACACTCCGTTTTGAAAAAAATCGGCGGCCATATTTATGCGAATGAAGCGCAAGATATTTAAATCCCTGCTTCATTAGGCAATTTCGATGTGCCTAATCTACATCTCTTTGTCCACAGAGAGGTGTAGTCTAAACACACCCTTAGTGTGGCCATCTGGTGGTTCTCAAGTGTCCTTTCAAGTCTGGGGTTGAGAAAGAAATGGAGCCTGAGTTGTATCTTTACTTATTTATTGTTACTCAGTGCAAACATCGAAAGTGTGGAACACGTCACACACAAATCCCAGGGAGGCGCTCAATATGCAACATACAGCACGACAGACACCGCCCCGGCTATAGCCCCGCTCCCACATGGGGGATTGGCTGCTGTGGGATGGGCATGGGGAAATGGAACAAGGGAAATTTCTCCTCTAGGAAGCGCTGGCTCTGAACTGGAGAGCGTTCGAGAGGATGGCTAGGTTGGACGGGTGGGGAAAGGGACATGGGCACTTTCTCTTTTAGGGGGTGCTGGCTCCGACCCAGGGGACTGCTGGCTGCAGGAGGGATGCGGGACACAGGATGGTTCCTTGCTAGGAGTGCTGGCTCCTTGCATGACATGAGGTGTCTGGTCACAGCCCAGCTCCCGGTAGGGCAGCGTGCCCAGTGGCTGAGGGCTGAGGAGGCCACGGGAGGTGCATCCCTCTCGCTCCGCACCGGAGGGTTCTACCAGGGCACAGCGATGCAAGGCAGAAGCTGTGAGAGGCAGGAGAGTGATGCCAAAGAGCCGGCAGCCCCGGCCCTTTGTCTTGGCAGAAAGGGAGCAGCATCCCTACACCACACGCTGGATCACGTTCTTGTACTCAGGGCCCCTTCCCCGCTTCAGCTGCACCACGCTGGAGAAAAGCCACTTCACCTGAAGGGACAGAGACAAAGGGCATGACAGGGGCTTCACACCAGGGAGCTGCTCTGTCTCTCTCTCTCTGTGTCCTTCTTTCCTGCTTCCATATCCACGTCTCATTCATTCACCTTCTGTCTCCCGCAACCTTTCTTCTTTCTCTTTCATACCTCCCATCTTTCCTTCTCTCCTGTGACACACTCAACTGTGCTTGCCTGGCTCCTCCCATCCCTGCTCCGTTTGCCCTCTCTCACCTTGAACAGGGTCACCGTGGCGCTGTAGCACACACTCAAGAGGAAAAGGGTGATGAAGACCGCGATGGTGCTCCAGAGACCATCTATCTTCTCATCGCCTTCCTCGGTGCAAAACTCGTCATTCATTATCACCTCTGTGCGGGGAGAGAAAGAGACATCAAGTGCAAGTCAGCCAGAGTCACAGAGAGAGCTCGGACCCTACATCCAACAGTAGTCTCTGTATCCTTCTCTCCTTCCATCCACTCTTCTATCTCTGGGTACATCAATCTAACCCTGGCCATAAGCCATCCATCCATCCCCACAAACCACTCATCCATCCATCCCTACAAAGAACCCTCTCTGCCTCCTTCCTTCCATCTCTAGACACACCCATCCATCCTCACATCTCCCTCCATTCATCTCTACAAACCATCCCTCCATCTGCCCATTCCCACTTAACCCTCCGTATATCAATGACCACAATCCACCCAACCATCTATGCCTGGCCACACAACCATCTTTAGATACATCCATCCATCCATGACCACAAACCACCCACTGATCCATCCATATGTGAATCCCAAGAGACCTTCATTCATCCATGCGTGCAACCATTAATGGCTAGATCCACCCATCCGTCCATGACCACAAAGTGTCCATCCATCTTGAGGTACATCCCTCCACACCCCCTCTCCATCCATTCATCTATGACCACAAGCCAGCTATCCATCCATCAGTCCATCCTTCCATCTATTCCTCTCCATACCTCCACCTATGGAATAGTGATAGAAATGTAGCCGTGTTAGTCTGGGGTAGCTGAAGCAAAATGCAGGACAATGTAGCACTTTAAAGACTATGGAGGCATTCATCCATGCATAATCACAAAACATCCATTCACCCATCAATACATTCCTAGATCCATCCATCTATCCATCTATCCATCCACCTGTTACTCACCCCTCCATTCATCCATAACCATAAACCACTCATCCATTTGTAGATACCTCCATCTTTCCATCTGTTTCTCTCGCATACCTCTCTAGATACTCGTATTCATCCATGATCGCAAATCACCTCTTGATGTATCAGTGTAGACACCTCCATCCATCTAACCATCCTAAATTAACCCCTCCATGTATCCATCTCCAGATCTCTGAGTTCATCCGTACAATCCTGAACACAAGCCATCCATCCATCCATAGACACAACCTCTCTCTGCTCCTCTTCCTCCATCTCTAGAGACATCCATCCACTCCCACTCACCCTTTCATTCCTACATGACCAAAACCATCTATCAATCCACCACTCCATCCTTCCAACCCTGACCACAAAAACAATGCACTTGTTAATCCCCAATTAAGCCTCCATCCACCGATAACAATGAACCATCCATCCATGCATGTGTCCCCACATCTCTACATCCATGACCACCAATCTATTCATCAACATTTCCACTGGTCTATCCATCCATTCAGCCAACTCTAGATACATCCATCCATTCATGGCCACAAACCGCCTATCCATCTCTCTTCCATTTATCCATCCTTCCATCCCCAGTTGCCTCTCCATTCTCCATTTATCCATGACCATAAACCTTCTTTCTACCCATCCATCAGTCCATTCTTAGACACCTCCATCCATCCATCCATCTATGCCTCTCCACACTTCCATCTCTAGATATATGTCACAAACCACCCAACAATCCATCCCTAGACACATCCATCTTCCATCCTTCTGTCCATCCATTCATGCCTCCATCCACCTCCACTCATCCAATCATCCATCCATAGAAGCACATCTCCATCCATCTCTCTCTAGCTACACCATCGAAGCATTCATCCATCCTTCTGTCCATCCATCCATTGCTCCTCTCCACCCATCCAATCATCCAGAGAAGCATGCCTCCATCCATCTCTCTCTAGCTACACCCATCCATTCATTTATCCATTGATGCTTACATCTGTCCATCTTTAGACACATCCATCCCTGTCTCCCACACAAACTTTCCTTCCGTCTGTTCATCCACCACAGCCCACAGTGATGGAATGGACAAAGAGCCTCCCAATTCTCCTCTCACTCATCCTATGTGGCCACAGCCATGTACCCGGACAATGAAACTTGCCAGCTATTGAATTTCAATATGTCTTAGTTTCCCTGTTTGCAAATTATGAGAGGCTAAATCCTCAGGATTAAGTAAGGTGCCTGGAGGCTATCATGTTGGGGAAGGCCCCCAAAGACCAGAATGTCTGGACTTCATGCAGGTGCATCCATGATCCCCATCTCAATGCACCTTAACAAGTTTTGTTACTTTTCTTAAGAGAACCACAGGTATTTTCTGGATGGATTCTCTTGGACATGAAAGATGGTGGCCCCTGAAGTTTGACCCTCCCTGAGTTAGCTCCCTTTCCTAAAGGAGTTTGGAGAACGGTTTGTTCTATCCTTGTTCTGAGGATAGAACAAGAAGCAATGGGCTTAATCTGCAGCAAGGGAGGTTTAGGTTGGACATTAGGAAAAAGTTCCTAACTGTCAGGGTGGTCAAACACTGGAATAAATTGCCTAGGGAGGTTGTGAAATCTCCATCGCTGGAGATATTTAAGAGTAGGTTAGATAAATGTCTATCAGGGATGGTCTAGACAGTATTTGGTCCTGCCATGAGGGCAGGAGACTGGACTCGATGACCTCTCGAGGTCCCTTCCAGTCCTAGTATTCTATGATTCTATGATAACAGGTGTATGAATAGGTGGGGGGCATGTTTGTCTCTCCTTGTGTTATGTGTCTCTTGGGCTGTGTCTACACTGGCATGAATTTCCGGAAATGCTTAAAACAGAATAGTTTTCGTAATAAGTATTTCTGGAAAAAGAGCGTCTACATTGGCAGGATGCTTTTCCGGAAAAGCCCTTTTCCCGGAAAAGCGTCCGTGGCCAATGTAGACGCGCTTTTCCGGAAAAAAACCCCGCTC